GTGTTCTGTGTTTCAGTGGTGTATCAGTATGACGTGTTCTGTGTTTCAGTGGTGTATCAGTATGACGTGTTCTGTGTTTCAGTCGTGTATCAGTATGACGTATTCTGTGTTTCAGTCGTGTATCAGCATGACGTGTTCTGTGTTTCAGTGGTGTACCAGTATGACGTGTTCTGTGTTTCAGTCGTGTATCAGTATGACGTGTTCTGTGTTTCAGTGGTGTATCAGTTTGACGTGTTCCGTGTTTCAGTGGTGTATCAGTATGACGTGTTCTGTGTTTCAGTGGTGTATCAATATGACGTGTTCTGTGTTTCAGTGGTGTATCAGTATGACGTGTTCTGTGTTTCAGTGGTGTATCAGTATGACGTGTTCTGTGTTTCAGTGGTGTACCAGTATGACGTGTTCCGTGTTTCAGTGGTGTATCAGTATGACGTGTTCTGTGTTTCAGTGGTGTATCAGTATGACGTGTTCTGTGTTTCAGTGGTGTATCAGTATGACGTGTTCTGTGTTTCAGTCGTGTATCAGTATGACGTGTTCTGTGTTTCAGTGGTGTATCAGTATGACGTGTTCTGTGTTTCAGTCGTGTATCAGTATGACGTGTTCTGTGTTTCAGTCGTGTATCAGTATGACGTGTTCTGTGTTTCAGTGGTGTACCAGTATGACGTGTTCCGTGTGTTTCAGTCGTGTATCAGTATGACGTGTTCTGTGTTTCAGTGGTGTATCAGTGTGACGTGTTCTGTGTTTAAGTGGTGTATCAGTGTGACGTGTTCTGTGTTTCAGTGGTGTATCAGTATGACGTGTTCTGTGTTTCAGTGGTCTATCAGTATGACGTGTTCTGTGTTTCAGTGGTGTATCAGTATGACGTGTTCTGTGTTTCAGTGGTGTATCAGTATGACGTATTCTGTGTTTCAGTCGTGTATCAGCATGACGTGTTCTGTGTTTCAGTGGTGTATCAGTATGACGTGTTCTGTGTTTCAGTGGTGTACCAGTATGACGTGTTCCGTGTTTCAGTGGTGTATCAGTATGACGTGTTCTGTGTTTCAGTGGTGTATCAGTATGACGTGTTCTGTGTTTCAGTGGTGTATCAGTGTGACGTGTTCTGTGTTTCAGTGGTGTATCAGTATGACGTGTTCTGTGTTTCAGTGGTGTATCAGTATGACGTGTTCTGTGTTTCAGTGGTGTATCAGTATGACGTGTTCTGTGTTTCAGTCGTGTATCAGTATGACGTGTTCTGTGTTTCAGTGGTGTACCAGTATGACGTGTTCCGTGTGTTTCAGTCGTGTATCAGTATGACGTGTTCTGTGTTTCAGTGGTGTATCAGTGTGACGTGTTCTGTGTTTAAGTGGTGTATCAGTGTGACGTGTTCTGTGTTTCAGTGGTGTATCAGTATGACGTGTTCTGTGTTTCAGTGGTCTATCAGTATGACGTGTTCTGTGTTTCAGTGGTGTATCAGTATGACGTGTTCTGTGTTTCAGTGGTGTATCAGTATGACGTATTCTGTGTTTCAGTCGTGTATCAGCATGACGTGTTCTGTGTTTCAGTGGTGTATCAGTATGACGTGTTCTGTGTTTCAGTGGTGTACCAGTATGACGTGTTCCGTGTTTCAGTGGTGTATCAGTATGACGTGTTCTGTGTTTCAGTGGTGTATCAGTATGACGTGTTCTGTGTTTCAGTGGTGTATCAGTGTGACGTGTTCTGTGTTTCAGTGGTGTATCAGTATGACGTGTTCTGTGTTTCAGTGGTGTATCAGTATGACGTGTTCTGTGTTTCAGTGGTGTATCAGTATGACGTGTTCTGTGTTTCAGTGGTGTATCAGTATGACGTGTTCTGTGTTTCAGTGGTGTATCAGTGTGACGTGTTCTGTGTTTCAGTTGTGTATCAGTATGACGTGTTCTGTGTTTCAGTGGTGTATCAGTATGACGTGTTCTGTGTTTCAGTGGTGTATCGGTATGACGTGTTCTGTGTGTCAGTGGTGTATCAGTATGACGTGTTCTGTGTTTCAGTGGTGTACCAGTATGACGTGTTCTGTGTTTCAGTGGTACAGTATGACGTGTTCTGTGTTTCAGTGATGTATCAGTATGACGTGTTCTGTGTTTCAGTCGTGTATCAGTATGACGTATTCTGTGTTTCAGTCGTGTATCAGCATGACGTGTTCTGTGTTTCAGTGGTGTATCAGTATGACGTGTTCTGTGTTTCAGTGGTGTATCAGTTTGACGTGTTCTGTGTTTCAGTGGTACAGTATGACGTGTTCCGTGTTTCAGTGGTGTATCAGTGTGACGTGTTCTGTGTTTCAGTGGTGTATCAGTATGACGTGTTCTGTGTTTCAGTGGTGTATCAGTATGACGTGTTCTGTGTTTCAGTGGTGTATCAGTATGACGTGTTCTGTGTTTCAGTCGTGTATCAGTATGACGTATTCTGTGTTTCAGTGGTGTATCAGCATGACGTGTTCTGTGTTTCAGTGGTGTATCAGTATGACGTGTTCTGTGTTTCAGTCGTGTATCAGTATGACGTGTTCTGTGTTTCAGTGGTGTATCAGTTTGACGTGTTCCGTGTTTCAGTGGTGTATCAGTATGACGTGTTCTGTGTTTCAGTGGTGTATCAGTATGACGTGTTCTGTGTTTCACTGGTGTATCAGTATGACGTGTTCTGTGTTTCAGTGGTGTATCAGTATGACGTGTTCTGTGTTTCAGTGGTGTACCAGTATGACGTGTTCCGTGTTTCAGTGGTGTATCAGTATGACGTGTTCTGTGTTTCAGTGGTGTATCAGTATGACGTGTTCTGTGTTTCAGTGGTGTATCAGTGTGACGTGTTCTGTGTTTCAGTCGTGTATCAGTATGACGTGTTCTGTGTTTCAGTGGTGTATCAGTATGACGTGTTCTGTGTTTCAGTGGTGTATCAGTATGACGTGTTCTGTGTTTCAGTGGTGTATCAGTATGACGTGTTCTGTGTTTCAGTGGTGTACCAGTATGACGTGTTCCGTGTGTTTCAGTCGTGTATCAGTATGACGTGTTCTGTGTTTCAGTGGTGTATCAGTGTGACGTGTTCTGTGTTTAAGTGGTGTATCAGTATGACGTGTTCTGTGTTTCAGTGGTCTATCAGTATGACGTGTTCTGTGTTTCAGTGGTGTATCAGTATGACGTGTTCTGTGTTTCAGTGGTGTATCAGTATGACGTATTCTGTGTTTCAGTCGTGTATCAGCATGACGTGTTCGGTGTATCAGTGGTGTATCAGTATGACGTGTTCTGTGTTTCAGTGGTGTACCAGTATGACGTGTTCTGTGTTTCAGTGGTGTATCAGTATGACGTGTTCTGTGTTTCAGTGGTGTATCAGTATGACGTGTTCTGTGTTTCAGTGGTGTATCAGTATGACGTGTTCTGTGTTTCAGTGGTGTATCAGTATGACGTGTTCTGTGTTTCAGTGGTGTATCAGTATGACGTGTTCTGTGTTTCAGTGGTGTATCAGTATGACGTGGTCTGTGTTTCAGTCGTGTATCAGTATGACGTGTTCTGTGTTTCAGTGGTGTATCAGTATGACGTGTTCTGTGTTTCAGTCGTGTATCAGCATGACGTGTTCGGTGTATCAGTGGTGTATCAGTATGACGTGTTCTGTGTTTCAGTGGTGTACCAGTATGACGTGTTCTGTGTTTCAGTGGTGTATCAGTATGACGTGTTCTGTGTTTCAGTGGTGTATCAGTATGACGTGTTCTGTGTTTCAGTGGTGTATCAGTATGACGTGTTCTGTGTTTCAGTGGTGTATCAGTATGACGTGTTCTGTGTTTCAGTGGTGTATCAGTATGACGTGTTCTGTGTTTCAGTGGTGTATCAGTATGACGTGTTCTGTGTTTCAGTGGTGTATCAGTATGACGTGGTCTGTGTTTCAGTCGTGTATCAGTATGACGTGTTCTGTGTTTCAGTGGTGTACCAGTATGACGTGTTCCGTGTGTTTCCGTGGTGTATCAGTGTGACGTGTTCTGTGTTTCAGTGGTGTATCAGTATGACGTGTTCTGTGTTTCAGTGGTGTATCAGTATGACGTGTTCTGTGTTTCAGTGGTGTATCAGTATGACGTGTTCTGTGTTTCAGTGGTGTATCAGTATGACGTGTTCTGTGTTTCAGTGGTGTATCAGTGTGACGTGTTCTGTGTTTCAGTTGTGTATCAGTATGACGTGTTCTGTGTTTCAGTGGTGTATCAGTATGACGTGTTCTGTGTTTCAGTGGTGTATCGGTATGACGTGTTCTGTGTGTCAGTGGTGTATCAGTATGACGTGTTCTGTGTTTCAGTGGTGTATCAGTATGACGTGTTCTGTGTTTCAGTGGTGTATCAGTATGACGTGGTCTGTGTTTCAGTCGTGTATCAGTATGACGTGTTCTGTGTTTCAGTGGTGTACCAGTATGACGTGTTCCGTGTGTTTCCGTGGTGTATCAGTGTGACGTGTTCTGTGTTTCAGTGGTGTATCAGTATGACGTGTTCTGTGTTTCAGTGGTGTATCAGTATGACGTGTTCTGTGTTTCAGTGGTGTATCAGTATGACGTGTTCTGTGTTTCAGTGGTGTATCAGTATGACGTGTTCTGTGTTTCAGTGGTGTATCAGTGTGACGTGTTCTGTGTTTCAGTTGTGTATCAGTATGACGTGTTCTGTGTTTCAGTGGTGTATCAGTATGACGTGTTCTGTGTTTCAGTGGTGTATCGGTATGACGTGTTCTGTGTTTCAGTGGTGTATCAGTATGACGTGTTCTGTGTTTCAGTGGTGTATCAGTATGACGTGTTCTGTGTGTCGGTTGTGTACTAGTGTGACGTGTTCCGTGTTTCAGTGGTGTATCAGTATGACGTGTTCTGTGTTTCAGTGGTGTATCAGTATGACGTGTTCTGTGTGTCAGTGGTGTATCAGTATGATGTGTTCTGTGTTTCAGTGGTGTATCAGTATGACGTGTTCTGTGTTTCAGTGGTGTATCAGTATGACGTGGTCTGTGTTTCAGTGGTACAGTTTGACGTGTTCTGTGTTTCAGCGGTACGCCATGACGTGTTCTGGACTGTGGTCGGCTGCCTGATCGGGGTGTGCGCCCTTCAGTTCCTCATCCTGCTGTGCATCTGCTGCCGGCGATGCGAGGGGTCGGGCCGGGAGAAATACAGCATGGAGAAAACCCCTGACCCCAAAGTAAACCACGCCTATGATAATATAGAGGGCGACCTGAACAGTAAACAAAAATTTTGAATCATATTGTCAGATACATATGCACTGTTAAACTATCTAAACTTATTTTAAGAATATAATTTTAAGAAATCATGGAATACACTGGTGTGACGGGATTATTTTAAGTATATGCACCACTTTGTAGCTGGAATTTAGGGTGCCCTCTATCGTGTATGTATTACCATCAAATCACCTGGAAGAAGGGTGTGGGTGCAGTTTGCCTTCATGTTACAGTTCCTAACACGCAGTATCACGTACTTGTTCTTGACCGGCGGGGTATGTGACGCCCTGAATGCATCAGTGCAGCATTGTACCCGGATGTCCTTGTTCCCAGCACGCAGAGTCACGTACCAATAATGTAACTGGCCTGGCTTTGACAGTGCAAATTAATACCCAAATGTTCCTTGCTCTCATCGTCACGTACATTCGCTTCACCGGCGGGCAATGTGACTGGCCTGACTTCCTCAGTGCACAAACAGATGTAACCGGATGTCACAATTCCATGTTCGCAGTGTCACGTACTATATGCACTTGCTCTAGATGGGTGCAGTGGGTATCTGGTCATTGTTGGTATGTGACCGGTCTGAGTGCATCAGTGCAGCATTTTATCCAGATGTCATATATGTATATATATATATATATATAGTTCCATGTTAGCAGTGTCACGTACTATATACTGTACGTACCTGCACTAGACTGGTGCAGTGGTCATCCGGTCATCGCTGACAGAAGTGTACAACCTAAATCCCGTCCATTTTCTCCCAGTGACAATAAACTAACACTGGCGTTTACTAACCTTGACAATCGAGCATGAAACAATTCCAAGCAAATGTGGCAGAAGTTTGTGTGTTAGTGAATGAATTATATGTACAATTATAGCGTGACATTTTCTTTTTATGATGGCACGGAGGGGCCATTGGTCCGACCATTTCAGGAACCGGTCATAACACATTCTAGTGATGACGTGGAAATATCATTTTCAAGACATACAATTTCTTTGTCTGAAATGTGGTTCCGATCAAATGAACAATGGTTTTACTCCCCGCCCCCACAAAAGGAAAGGCTCTGTCTGTTACATAGGAGTCGAAATGTCGTATCGCAATATCGCTGTGACACGTCGCACCTTTGATGTCCGCATATTGGAACATATGGCTTTTAACATTTATAACAATTAAGCCATTCATCATGTCAAATATATTATATAAGTGGCCATCTCTTTTCGTTTTATCGAACTTATTTTTAATATTCCAATGTTTAGTTTAAATTTTACTTGATGTTAGATACATGCAGTAAAACTGTTGCGAAATTGGATGTCTACAAACCCTTGAATGAACACTCCAACATTATGTCACACGATGTACATACAAGATAACATAAGATAACACTTTACTATCCCGAAGGAAATTCGGGTTACATCAGCGCAAGGTCCCCAGCCTATTAATAAACGCACATACAAATAAGTAAGAACATCCCAAACGTAATTAACATGTGGCACAACCGAATAAATGCTCAACAAATTATTTGTCACAAAAGCTATAATAAAACCTGGTACTATTTGCTATGAATGGATTCCCCGCTCTGTTGGTTCTCAACATCGGCAACCGATGGTATTACAGTGAAGCCATATTAGAATAAAACCAGATTAAATGAGTGAGTCAGTGAGCGGAATCAAAGATAAGTTTGTGGATTGACAAATTTGTCGTCAGTACTTTACGGACGTGTATACAATACGCTTGGCCTGGTTCAAGAGTGGGGGCTTGGTTGATGCATGTCATCGTATCCCAATTGCGTGGATCGATGCTCATGATGTCAATCACTGGATAGTCTGGTCCAGATTCGATTATTTACAGACCGCCGTCATATAGCTGGAATATTACTGAGTGCGGCGTTAAACAACAAACAAACAAACAAGAGAGAGAGAGGGGGGAAACCTACGAGTGGCCAATCAGCGCTCTGATTACACCGGTTATTTTATAGTGTGCAGTCTTCTACTCCACACATTGTTTCAATATCAGGCTACGGTAGGGTTCGCTCAAAGTTCGTGCACGGAGTATGGCTCATTTAACTTCCGTGAGTTATGCAAGACCACGTTTCATTAGCTGACTGAAGACAGACACATGCACAGCAGCCACGTGTATTACGGGTGATGGAGTAACGTCGTGCATGCGAATGTGTAACGAGTCCCGGTGTCCTATCTTCCATTCAGAAGACAAATCATGGAATCCTGTTTCTGTCCCTGTATACTTATTTAACTATATAAACATCACTTATTTTTTTATAAAACCATTTTAATATAACTCATTGATTCCTGTTTTTGATTGACAAAAAGGAGAAGAAGATATTAACTTTTATAATCGCAGCACCGTTATCTCGACTATGTGCTCGAGTGGTTTGCCCGATGCTCAACTGTAACTTGTTTCGGGAAACGGATGGCAGAATTGTGTCAATATTCCAGCCGCACTCAGCAATATTCCAGCTATATGACGGCGGTCTGCAAATAATCGAGTCTGGACCAGACAATCCAGTGATTGACAACATGAGCATCGATCCATGCAATTGGGATACGATGACATGCATCAACCAAGTCAGCGAACCTGACCACCCTATCCCGTTAGTCGCCTCTTACGACAAGCATAGTCGCCTTTTACGACAAGCATGGGTTGCTGAAGACCTATTCTACCCCCGGATCTTCATGGCCCGCGATGTCCAGGTGATAATAAGGGGAGATATTTCGCACAAGCACAGAAGATTTTAACGAGAATGATGAATATCTAGTTGAATTTCTAATTACAATTGAGACGTTTTTCGGCAGATGCCTTTTGAAATAATTTGGGGAAGAGTGCTGCAGATTTGCAGAGTTATGTTTGTTTGTATATATATTTATTTGTTTGCTGTCTGACAGTCTCCGTGGTCTAGTGATTAGAGCGTCTGCCTGGAGAGCGGAAGCTGGGTTCGATCCCCGGCCGCGTCATACCAAAAGACTTTAAAAGATGGTTCTTGTTGTTACCCTGCCTGGCGCTCTGCATTAAGGTACTTAAACAAGGACTGGTCGGCTCGGAATCAGTATAGTGTGTCTTGGGTTTTCATGTTAAACTGCGGCATGGTATCTCAGCGGGCTGGCACTATAAAATTGACAATAGTCCGGACTTGTACAAACATCCACGCACGCACGCACGCTCGCACGCTCGCACGCACGCACGCACGCACGCACGCACGCTCATGTACGTCGCTTTAAAAGCGCAATAATCTCTGACGCGACGGTAAACCCAATTTCACCTCACCTTATTTGTTGTTTATCGCCACACTCGCCAGTATTCCAGCTATATGACACATGTTTGTTATAAATCGTGTCTGGACCAGACAATCCAGTTATTGACATCCTAAGCATCGATCTATGCCATTGGGATACGATAACATACATCAACCACTTTAGCGAGCCTGACCACCCGAGCAAGCATGAAAGGCGGTATGCTGACGAATTGAGAGAAATGGTCTTAAAGAGGCACGCAAAAGGTGTACACATACTTTTGAAAATTTGAGTTTGATATTTTTTTTAAAGATTACTGAGACAAGGCCAATTTTGTTGCATGGAACTAAAGTACGGGGTAAAGATTTTTTATATTTTGTAAAACCCTTATTTCTCAATGAGGTTTTTGTGGTGATCCTCATATCCATACATTCTACTTATACACTGAAGCAGTACGGTTATTATAAGAAATCAATATCCACATTCTTTTTATGCACTGAGAATTGATGCATTCTTGTCCTCCTGGTTGTACTAAAGACATGTGGACTCCGCAGTATCGGCTATGCCAATAACGCCAATGACCACAGTGAAGTTCTCAACGTTACAGTACAACCAACCTTTCCTTAGTTGTAATATGATGAAACACATAAGCTTGCGTGGCCGTCGGTGTTATCTACAATGTACATACATTAACATATATTTACAAATATATATATACATAATTATTTACATTTATTTACAATTACACTCTTCAAAAAAAGACACGCACAGGTAGTATGTAGTTCATTGAGCCTGACTACACAAAAAAACGGTATATAAATTGGATATATGTTATTGGAAAATGTTGGTGGCCTGATATGAGACAAACGGTGCTTCAAAACGCAGCCATTGTCAATTTGCAATGTCTTAAACGGGATTGTTTTCACACTTGTTCAATGTCATGGAGGAACACAGTAAAGCAAAATGGACGTGCAAGTTATGGCATTCGTAACTCGTGGTAGTGGCTATAAAAAGGCAAGCATAAGCCAATAATTTGTCATTCAATTGTCAACATTTTTCAAGTTCGAAAATGCCGAGACTCATCGCTGCCGATTGGAACATCGCCATAGGACGTATCCAAAGAGGGGAATCGCAGTCTTCTGTTGCACGCCACTTCAACGTCCACCCAGCACCATTTGCCGCCTGTGGGGCTGACACACACACTTCAATACCACTGCAGACCGTCCAAGAACCGGCCGACCAAGAGTTACCACCCCTGCACAGGATTGCTACATTCGTCATCGCAATGCCACAGCTACGGAGACTTCAGGACGCATACCTGGTTTGAGGAGGGTATCGGACCAGATTGTCAGGAACCATCTTCGCGAGGCTGGAATCCGACCCAGAAGACCAGTTATCCTTCCTGTTTTGTAACAGATCCATCGACAGCGACGCTTGCGTTGGTGCCATGCATTACAGCCTTGGAATTTGAGAAACTGGAGATGAGTGTGGTTTAGCGATGAATCACGATTTCTTCTTCACCGGCGAGATGGAAGACAACGTGTTCATCGTCGTCGAAATGAGCGTTTTGACACACATTGTGTACATGAATTCGACAATATCGGTAGCGGTAGTGTCATGGTATTGGGGTCCATATCCTACACCACGAGATCTGACTTGGTTGTTGTTCAGGGACATTTGACAGCAAATCGCTACATGAATCAAATTCTTCAACCCCACCTTCTTCCAATCATTGACCGGCAGAGGCAGCTGTTTCAACATGACAACGCTCCACCGCACACAACTCGTGTCACGGCAGACTTCCTTCATAATGCCAACATCAACGACTTGCCCTGGCCGTCGAGATCTCCAGATCTCAACCCAATCGAACACCTCTGGGATGAACTCGATCGACGTGTATGTCAACGTCAGAACACAACGCAGACACTCCTACAACTGTCCAACACGTTACAAGCAGAATGGCGCAGAATTCCGCAGGACAGAATTCGTACACTTATTCAGTCAGCGCCGGGGAGATGCAGAGCCGTGATTGCTGCCCGGGGCAGTCACACGAGATACTGAATTCAGCACAACCTTGTGGCCTTATGTGACATGACAATGAACAGTTTTCAATGCCTTTGTACAACGACAACATGTGACTATCGAGATCAAAAATTTCATATTTGTATCTATGATATTTAATTATTTATATATATATATATTGACTTTATTAAGTACAATAAAAATCTACCTGTGCATTTCTTTTTTTGAAGAGTGTATTTACATACATTTACATGTGGGTTAGTTACATCATCTCACAGAATGCACAACGTATGTTGCCTGTCAATAGTTTCACAAGGGTAATGTTTTGGGTGGAAGGTGAGAGATATCGATCCTGTGTATTTGAAACAAACTTTTCCACCCCACAGAAAAAAAATCTTGAGAAATGTTATAATGTACCATCAGTTACATCATTTTCACATATATATATTAAGATCTTGTTCAGACTTAAATGGTCAACATCTGAAGTTCATTCAGTAAAATATGCAAAGGACGACAAGTAAATATTCTTCAAATGGTAAACGTGAGTGTGTATGTTCCTGACTTGCCCAGCATAATGACACGGACGTTGAGAGTTAATCTGACCACAAAGCAATAGGTGGGTACCCGGAAGGTTTGCGTATTTTTTATTCAATTGTTCTTGAAGATGTAGTCTCCCCAGGGAGATGTGGTTTAGTGCCTTTTTTGTCTTCTATAGCAGGAATAAAGACGCACTCCAAGACGTTGAGTTGCTGATTGCCATAATTCCCAATGCAGTTTCGATCACACTCGTACGGAACAGAAAACAAGTACTGCATAGTGTAAAACTATATCTTTATTACTGTATATATAAATCTGGAGAAATCGTATCTAACTTAGAGTTAGTCTCCAAAGGGAGCTGAAGTTAAGCGCGTGTGCAGTATCGATCATCATGACTTACACTGTATGTAACACAAAGCATCTACTGTAGAGTGTAAAACTATATATCTATGACCGTACATATACAAATACATCAAGATAAATCCAATCTAAATAAGATCACGTGAGTGAGTGAGTGAGCTTGCACTGACGACCCTTTTAAGAGTATTACAGTTTTATCACGGTGTGTCGGCTTGACGTGAGAGGGAACCTGAAACAAGTGTACAAACTAGAACCATAACAGATTCGAACCCACAGACACAGGTACCTGGCACGCTTAAGATGACAGAAGTCCGTACAACGAAATGCGGCGCCTTAGACAGTACACATGTATCGTGTGTTGCTGACGACCTTGCAGGACATTCACGTACGGAGTCCATCTCGTATCCCTGTTGTACCATTCATGTGGGGTACATCTCGTATTTCGGGGCCTATAGCCTAGTGGTTAAAGCGTTCGCTCGTCACGCCGAAGATATTGTTAAGAGCGGCGTAAAACCATACACACTCATCTCGTATTTCCCGTATATTAGCACTTACGCGTATGAAGTTAAGAAATACGCATACAAATAACAATCTGAAAAATGCACAATCAACGCTTCTAAAATCAACACATTCAGAGTACAATGATTGGTAAAAAATATAAAAATACCTATAAATTGTATGGCTTACATACTTAATATATGAGTGAATGAGCGAATGAATACATAGAAATGTATATAACAGAGAATCGTGAGTGACATATTTCCTGCTAACGTATAAAAGAACAAACATCCATTGCACCTTAAAAACACTGATGTTGTTTATGTATTTGCGTGGTTGATGTTAATATTTGGGGGATGGCAGTTATCCTGGAATTCTTGTTTTGAAAAGATATCTTGTTTCGCTAAGAGCTGCATATCCTGTAGAAAATGTGTTGTGAAATTACCTTGTTCGCTTTCTTCTTTCACTGAAAACAATTGCATGTTTTGGTTAAATGATCGAAACAATATCCTTACTCAGTATGACCTCAGTATACACAGTAGACTCTAAGGTATGTAAGGAAATTTTAAAAATCCAATTCATCCTTCATGTTCACTTCCGGTGTAAGCTGAGGTACACTCAGTCAATAGGGGACGCAGGATAGGTGGTTGCGTGAATTGTAAATTCCTGATCTCGCCTGACGTGTACACCTTCGACATTTAATACTTTAGGTATCCCTTGTTTTCCTGTGGGTTAGGGGTAAATGTTGGCTCCATGTTGTATTTCTCCCGGCCCGACCCCTCGCATCGCCGGCAGCACATGCACAGCAGGATGAGGAACTGAAGTGCGCACACCCCGATCAGGCAGCCGACCACAGTCCAGAACAAGTCATGCCGTACCACTGAAACACAGAACACGTCATACTGTACCACTGAAACATAGAACACGTCATACTGATACACCACTGAAACACAGAACACGTCATACTGTACCACTGAAACATAGAACACGGCATACTGTACCACTGAAACATAGAACACGTCATACTGATACAGCACTGAAACACAGAACACGCCATACTGTACCACTGAAACATAGAACACGTCATACTGATTCAGCACTGAAACACAGAACACGTCATACTGATACAGCACTGAAACACAGGACACGTCATACTGATACACCACTGAAACACAGAACACGTCATACTGATACACCACTGAAACAGAGAACACGTCATGCTGGTACCCCACTGAAACACAGAACACGTCATACTGATACACCACTGAAACACAGAACACGTCATACTGATACACCACTGAAACAGAGAACACGTCATACTGGTACCCCACTGAAACACAGAACACGTCATACTGATACACCACTGAAACACAGAACACGTCATACTGATACACCACTGAAACACAGACCATGTCATACTGATACACCACTGAAACACAGAACACGTCATACTGTACCACTGAAACACAGAACACGTCATACTGACACACCACTGAAACACAGAACACGTCATACTGATACACCACTGAAACACAGAACACGTCATACTGATACACAACTGAAACACAGAACACGTCAAACTGATACACCACTGAAACACAGGACACGTCATACTGATACAGCACTGAAACACAGAACACGTCATACTGATACACCACTGAAACACAGAACACGTCATACTGATACACCACTGAAACACAGGACACGTCATACTGATACAGCACTGAAACACAGAACACGTCATACTGATACACGACAGAAACACAGAACACGTCATACTGATACAGCACTGAAACACAGAACACGTCATACTGATACACCACTGAAACACAGAACACGTCATACTGATACACCACTGAAACACAGACCACGTCATACTGATACACCACTGAAACACAGAACACGTCATACTGATACACCACTGAAACACAGACCACGTCATACTGATACACCACTGAAACACAGAACACGTCATACTGTACCACTGAAACACAGAACACGTCATACTGATACACCACTGAAACACAGAACACGTCATACTGTACCACTGAAACACAGAACACGTCATACTGTACCACTGAAACACAGAACACGTCATACTGATACACCACTGAAACACAGAACACGTCATACTGTACCACTGAAAGAAGTTGATACACCACCGAAACACAGAGCATGACATGTTGACACACCAATGAAACACAGAGAAGCCAACTGAGTGAAGGAGATCACTAATATTCTAACCCAGGTCCCAGGAAAAATGAGGATTTTTAGCAGATGGACATGGCATTGTGGCACTGCAACTCACATCAACCTATAATGTCCTATAAACAGTGACACACAGGAATGTCCCAATAACAGGGCACGCCACAAACCTATGATTGTGGGTTTGAATCCCGTTTCGCCCCGATTATGTTTCTAGGTTTATCAGCACCATACCCGAAGTCACCGAAGTGGTAAACGTCTGAGACCTGCGTCACTTCGGTCTTTCCTCCCACATTAAGCTGAAACGCCGCGATATAACTGGAATACTGTTAATAGCGGCGTTAAACCCAACTGATCCACCCACCCAATCAATAACAAATCTCATTACAACTGACAATGACAGAACAACAGACCTCAAAACTCAATTGCTCCGGAAACTCTAGGACAACAGCTATGGCCGGCAATGAGCGATGGCATCTTTGTAAATTTAAGTTCCTAAAGAATCCACACATCCTGGCATCACAGTCCTATTGTACAATTCCGTCTTAGAACACATACTGATGTGTTCCATTATTGTTTCTTCAATTATACATACAGATCAAAATGGTTGAAATACTTACTTTTGTTTTCTTCCTTGCTCTCTTTCTCGATTTCCCCTCTTTCATTATTTTTGCTAAACGTAATTTTAGGGCCGAAGCTCCCGCATTTCGGGAAGTTATCCGGCGGAGCAGGATGATGGTCCTGAGCCTCGTTGATCATCATCGCCATCCCGTCAGCACTGTGCATCTCAATGTGGCAATGCATGAACCACAGTCCAGGATTGTCAGCGCGGATTCTCACAACCGCATAACCACCAGTTGGCACTATAATGGTATCCTTCCGCGGTGGGTTCTTCAGCTCCAGGCCAGGTATGTTATCCCCCGTCCACGATGAGTTGGCCCAAGTTGGCGAATTACAGAAGTTGTGACTGACGTTGTGACAATCAATATCAATGTTATCGCCTATGACCTGCCCGTTGGAGGCGTTGTATTGCGCATAGCCCATCTTAAGCACGTAGAAGGAATGGCCATGGAGATGAACTGGATGAGACCAACCCTTCCCGTTTCCCAAGTTGAGGAGGACCATCTGAACAGTGTCTCCGTATGTTAGATCCAGCTTGTAGGTGCAGTGGCACGTCCTCTCCTCACCACAGTCCTCCTTGTCACACGTAGTGTGTATCTCATCCGGCTGCGTCAAAGCAGCCACACTTGGCATCACGAATGCCCGGCCGTTGACCTGTCCCGGATATTCTTTTGTGCCAGGGAAAGCATAATTGAGGAAGTGTTCCTTGAACTTCCCAGCTGTCACCATGGGAGCGGGGTCATCATCAGCCAAAGATTTGAGCTGGTCGAACCGGAGGCATTGGGTATGCTGCATTGGGTAGTATGTGAAGGGACAGTTGATGACACGGCATGGATTGACAACCGAGCATGTTCTTCTGACTGAGGTTGGCTCTGCTTCAGACGCGCCTTCGTATCTGAGAATAGCTTCAGCTCTGTGGTCCACACCTTTCTCGAGAGTTTGTGCCCGAATCCAGTAGTTGTCCACTGCGTTCGTGGTGTTGAGGATGAAGTCGATTCTCTCACCAGGGTTGATGATGAAGGACTCTGCGACTTCTGGACGTAGGTCATACCCGTCGGACGCCACAATGGTCAGTTCGTGACCGTGCACGGACACCCGGAATGGGTAGAGGTGGCCAGCGGCGATGACCCGGAACCTGTACTGTGTGTTTGGTTTAACATCGAAGGTTGTAAGAGGGGCTCCGTTATGCTTTCCGTCTTTATGATAGAGTCGTCCCTTTCCGTTGATTAGCCCACTCAACATTGCATATCGGCTGAAATGGGAGCCGTCAAGAGAATCCGTAGTTGGAACCTTTTGTCTGTTTTTGAATGATCCAAACATCATTTTCAGAAGGTCGGCCATTGAGTCGTCGTGGTTCCAGTCTTGTAGCACCATTACCATTTCTTCCATCACCAGTGGTTTCTTCTCTCTGATGATCAGCGGGCCTAGAAGCCCCATGGTCCTCTGGTTGCCCATATGAGAATGATACCAGAATGTGCCCTTGGGTTTGGCCTTGAACTTGTAGGTGAACTCTTGACCCGGAAGTATAGGACACTGCGTTATGAAGGCCACACCGTCCATATATGGCGTACCTTGTTGATGAAGTCCGTGCCAGTGGATGGACAATCCTTCGTTGTGGAGGTGATTTTTAACATGGACGATTACAGTTTGACCTTCATAGACCTCGATAGCAGGCCCGGGCATGGAGCCATTGGCCACGGTTACGACTCGCTGTGGTTCGAAGCCGTCTGCCTGGATGACTCCAATGGATGTCTCTGGAGTAGCAGCTGACGTATTGTCAACGTTATACTTATACAGATTCCCTCCCTCGGGGAAAACGGCCTCGGACCCTTTCATCATTGTGAGGCGTTTGTCAATGACAAGAACGAATTCGCACTCTTCATCTGCCATCTTGCACTCTGAGGCCACGCCCCTCGCTGACATGATTGACAGCAAGAGGCAAGACACTGCTCGGAAACACCACATCCTAAAATAGAAAAAAAAGATTTTCTGTTGAGAACTTTGAAATAGCAAGTTAACCATCCCAGTAAATATGTTTTTTGCTGATTATTTTCAGGTCCTGTTTCAATAAGCCCCCTCGTTTCCCTGTTTACACGTGACACGGACAATTCAGGATGCATTTGACAAAAATAAATGTAACGTCTTCTGAACTTAGAAAACAATTTGCGAAATAATTGACTCCCACATAGATGACACCTTTGTGAAATTTGGTGATAGGACATTTTGGCAAAAAGTAGGCATCCCCATGGGCACCAATTCTCCTTCTTGTTGATCTGTTTCCTTAATGCTGCTCGTATTGGCAAAATCAAAACAATGGAATTCGGCCAAGAAATTTAACTTAAGCTCCAGTTTTCCCACACACCCTCGGTGAGAACCTCCTGAGATAACTGGTATCAAACATGTGTGTGAGATCGAATTCCAGATCATTGATTGGCTACTTCAAGTTGATGAACTAAAGATCAGATAATGACGGACTACTTTCCTCATCATCATTCACTCGAATACACCTACGTCTGTGTCGGACCTGAAGTTTTAGGAGTGTAAATAAATGTAGTTGTTTTATCTTATAAAGTCTAAATTTTTCATCGCCTTGCTATTCCACAGATGTGGCGGAAACTTTTTGCGAAGGGTTACACTTGGTATGAGGTGCATGCAGTAAGCCGGATGATATCAATCACGGCCGCTGTGTTATGTATAAATGCGCCACTACGATCACGAGAATAGACAAAATATGCATGGAGTCGATGCTAACATGGTCCGAGTTAAGGTTGTGTAAGAAACACTGCATTTGTGCCTGTCATTTACCATTTATCTTACAACTCGTTTCAAACAACTCATAAATGATATCCATCAGACACTCGTGTAGTAATCTCTGTGTATCAATGATCTGATATGGTTCAGATTCCCTTCCATTGAAGCTGGTAATAAAAGATACCAGAACGACAACGAGTAGACAGGCGCTAACGCCGCTATTAACAGTATTCCAGTTATATCGCGGCGTGTCAGCTTAATGTGGGAGGAAAGACCGAAGTGATGCAGGTCTCAGACGTTTACCACTTCGGTGAAATCCACGAGCACGGGTATGTTGCTGACAAACCTAGAAACATTATCGGGGCGAATCGGGATTCGAACCCACAATCATAGGTTTCCGGCGTGCCCCAGGGACGCAACTCTGCACAGCGAATCGCGGCGCCTCAGACGACTGGGTTACCCGTGTCCCCAGTAGACAGGCGAGTGCAAACTGAGGTACAAATTAAACTAATATATATATATTTCTGTTGATTTTATTGCATGTATGTCCTTCAACCGAATATATGTTAAGTTACATTATATCCAAAAAAAATAGCTGTACTGGCGCTTAGTTAGCATTTAAAGAATACTTCTAAGAGGTTATATTTCTTTATAACATTCGCAACTGCTGATAGGAACATGTATCTTAGACACTTTGTCTTTGAAAACCAATAAATTTGCTTCTTACGGCTCAAATTGACAACATGTTTGGGGTCAATTGGCTGCAAATTTATTTCTGACCCCAGTCTTCACTGAACCGATGTTGGTTTACACAGGATTACCAAGCCACAGTTTACGTTTTACAACTTGTTCCAGGAATAAGTGATGTCTAAATAGTCTATTACCTATGCGGGGCGGTCGGGTAGCCTAGTGGTTAAAGCGTTCGCTCGTCACGCCGAAGACCCGGGTTCGATTCCCGACATGAGTACAATGTGTGAAGCCCATTTCTGGTGTCCCCCGCCGTGATATTGCTGGAATATTGCTAAAAGCGGCGTAAAACCATACTCACTCACTCACTCTATTACCTATGCGGACAAATTTGAATTACATTTTAACTGCTGATATCTGTGCAGTCGTGGTTGCTGGCATTCTTGATTATACAGGTAGGGCCGGACGTGTTTACCCGTTTGGCGAACACCTGGTGTCATGAGTTTCAGTGATTATATTCATATAATATTCACCCTATTTTACTCTTACGCCCAAGTGGAATCTGTTTCGTCGGCAAATCGAGACTGGTTATTCTCAATTACCATATACATTAAAAAAACTCGTTTTACTTTCTTTTGCTCCTTAGATTATGTGCAAAATGAGTCAAAGTGACAAAAGAAGAGGGATGACTTCAACTTTCCAATAGTCAACTTTCGGCTTATGTCGAGCAATGTTCAAGCAGCTCTAGCATTTGGTGTCTGCATTTCACAACTTTTGAGGTACTATGGAACATGATTTCAAAGAGAGTCATCCTCCTCTTGCTCACAAGTTGTTTGATCAGGGTTACAACATTAAGGTTTCAGTAAAATACCAAAGGTCATGAAACAAAGGCGGTCTTAATGGATGTCTATTGATTGTTTTACGACTTATTAGCGAAAGTGGATCATGATGGGGATCTTGATCAGGTGTAAATTAGAGTTATGTGTGTGGTTTCAAAGAACATGTCCACCACACTGTTGTCCTGACATCATGGCGTTCAGACATGTTGGTGTTAATTAAAAACGTCGAATCTGAAGGTCATTAAATAACGTAGAGTGTGTACCGGTAATTTATTGCAGGAGGGAGGTTAGGTGTCGTGGTCGTATACTCATGTAGGACATCACACTCACAGTTCACACATAATGGGGATGCCAGATACACAAGGAGATGACTTGTAGCAAAGGTGGGGATAACAGCTGACTTATTTCAAAGAGCGTCATGCGACTCTTGTTCACAAGTTGTTTGATCAAGGTTACAACATTCAAGGCCTCAGTAAAGCTTTCAAAAGGTTTAACGGTAGACATGTGAAGACAGTTTCAAATTTGACTCATCAGCGACCAAAATATGTTCATGACGGGTGCCACTAATGCGACAGGGTACGTTCACCATTTCGCGGACAACTGGTATTATCACTATTTGAAAGTAATTCACAAACACATGCTTATGATATATAAATCGCAAAGAACAACGAAGAACGATGCGTGGTTTATTTCACGATAAAACATTGTTCTATCATGACGTCATTTCTGGAGATTCGAATATGAGCTCGCAATTTGATGACGGCATATAGTAGATGACGTTATTGTTTAAAGGGAAGTGTCAAAAGAGTTGTTACCCATAGACGTAGCTGGGTTACGCAGATAAACGTAGTGGCCGAACGATCGCATCCAAAAGTGGGAGAGTTATGGCACTCGGTATTAGGAGAAAAGGAAAAAAACAAAAAAACATGAGGATTGTGAGAATTTGGATAAATATTTACATGACAGCTTGTAAATTTTATCAACATCCTTAAAGAGACTGTACATAATGTTGGCATTTCATAAAAGAAACAAACGACCCGTTGTCGTTGTTTATCATACCATAAAACACTGCGCCCCTCGTGGTTTACTCTCTCTGCAGTGTTTTATGTGCAGGATAAAACACATCAGAGGGATTTATGAGATTTAAAACCTGAATCCAAGGGATAAAACCGAGCGGCGTCTTATGGAACTGATAAACCATAAACTTTAGGAAACGGGCGTAAAATATATGTTGCATGCGTCCCGGTACAAAAGACATTCTTAAAAGCGTTGTGATTTTATTAGCGCTTCTGTAGCCTAGTGGTACCCTCACTGGACTGCAAATACGGAGGTTGCATGTCTAATACGCGGGAATATAAAAAATGATAAAACATAAGTCATTAAATTTTACAGTTCGTTACATTGTGTTCACATGCCTCATTACAATCTTTGGGATATTATATAAAATTCCTGGAGTATTATAAAATGTCCCAGGGATATTCTTACATCTCTGTTTATGTGATTTAACCCTACTGGAGAACAATAGAATGACGTGAGGTTTATAATGTTCGATAAAAAAAACTCCCACCCGTTGTTTATTTCGAAAAGAACTGCAGTCGTATAATGGACTCAGCCTTTAACAGATATTTCTTATGAATCTCCCTTGCTACATGTTATTATTGTGCTCGTGTGCTTGTTCAAATGGAATTGCTTAGAATGCACGCATTGTGGGCTGGGGAATGTTCACCCACTCAGCCTGCAGTACTTGTGCCAACTGTCGGAGGTTCTGTGGTTGCTACTGACGTGCTCGCAGTCGTTGATCCAGTGCATCCATTAAATGTTCGATTGGGTTTAAATCTGGAGACATAGAGGGTCATGGCAGGATCTGGATGTTGTGATTCCTGAAAAAGGCCATTGTCAGTCCAACCGTGTGAGGTTTGATGTTTTCTTGTTGGAAAACGGCATTTGCTTGTTGCATAATGGGAAGGACGTGTGACCTAAGAATCTCATCCGTGTTACATTGTGGCATTAAATTCCCCAGAACTTGCACCAAGTCTGTTCTATCAGTGTAGAACATGGCTGGCCACAACACCACACTACCACTACGAAATATGTCCACTTCCTGTATGCAGCTTCGTGCACAACGTTCCCGGCGACGTCTTTCATCCGCAAGGTGGAGCATAAAACGCAACTCGTCACAAAACCAAACTTGCAGGTCCGTCAAAATGACATCTCGAACTGGTCGTCTAGCGCGAATACCCTCAGAGCGTAAACGGTTCCTCACTGTCTGGGCTGATATCCTACAAATCCTGGTATTGCCGTAGTTGTAGAGGTTGGCGTGATGGTACTTCACGTAAGTGACGTAGCCGTATGAATCTGTCCTCTGCTCTCGTAGTGATACGTGGTCGACCGGTTCGACCGGAAGGTCACATGTTGTCCCGATAACGGTTCCAAACTGTTGTAAAGGTGCTTGATGCTACGTGAAAAATATGGCCGCAGGTGAAAATGATTCACCTGTTTGCAGTCGTCCTATGGCGTTGTTGCGTTGGGCTTCCGTCATTCGTGGCATGTTTTCGCTGTTCACTTGCTGTAAGATTGTGATGGCATGCACATGAAAAGCAACCATTTTTTTGTAGCCTCACAATACATTTCCACGTGTTACGTTGGTGTGTAGCTCTCACGTAGATGTGTGTGTGTGTGTGTGTGTGTG